TCTTAATGACCCTTTCCCGAGAGGCTGTTGTCTTTGTGTGCAGTTGAGCACATGAAGGACAGCGGCCTGGTCCAAATTCAACAAATCTGACCTCACAAACACAATGGTGTCAAGAGCTCGGCCCACAGAAACACAATGCTGTGGTTTGGGACCAGATGTGACAGATGTTGAAGGGCAAATAAGAGAGTGGATGTGTTTACGCTTTAAAGCAGTTGACCTGAGAGATGCATGCTGCACACACGTGATTTCAAAAGTGTGATTGATTGATGTAACGTTAATCTTTTTGACTGCTTGATCTTCTCACTCTTTTCATAGACTAATGAAGTAAGAACCAAGACCGCACAGTCAAGTTGCCCCATCAAAAACACGTTTTTTAATACAACCATAAAGTTTGATTTCCTCAAACAAAAATTTACCTGCTGTACAGTTCAAAAACATTTTATACATCCTGTGTAAATACATATTTTAATAATTGTGGACAAAAAATACATGTAAAAAACACATTTCCAGCTGGATTATTCCCAGTCTAATTTTCTTTGTATATGATTTTTTTAATATAAGAAATTTTGTTGATAAAATGAACATTTGAGTATTCTGGAATATATATTTTTTTTGTGTGTGTGTGTGCAGTAAAACCAAAATTAAAAATGTAAAAAAAATATGTTGACTCAGAATGTTCCTATGTGGATTTTTCTAGGAGAATTTCTTTGCTCATACAGTATATTTCTCTTATCACATTTTTTTTCACAGTATATTTTTTTTGCGACCAAAGAGCATAAAATTAAGAGACCCCCCCCCAAAGGTCAAAATTTGGTGGCAGAAAATCAAAAGGTAGTTTGACTTTCTGCATAAAAAAGCTGAGAACCGGTCCATCCTCCATGATGATGAAAAGGCCCCTATCTATTAAAACCAAGTTGTTTAGAGGGATTGGTTTCTTGAGGTCTAATGCGTCCATTGAAAATGAAAAGACGGGAGTTCAGACAGTCGACTCATGAAAAAAAGATCACAAAGAGAAAAACTGAGTTGCTGAGTTAGAGGGTCACCACAACACAAAGAGAAATGGTGAAAGTCACACCCACTAACTCAAATATAAATGTATGTATATTTGAACACTGAACAAACAAGTATTTGGAAACAAGAACCTGTCTCGAGCCCTAAGCCTTACGCCATTCAGGTCTTATTGTCCTGCCATGTCATGGGATGCAGCGCTGCCCCCCAGGTCATGTCGTATCTCCACGGGTCATCGCTGGTTCCATCTCTGTAAAACTGCAGTGAACGCTTCTTCTCTGTCTGCGAGTCCAGAAACCAGACGATTCGTGAGAGAAGTTCATGTGACTGACAAAGAGAGGTAATACAAGATATAATGTGTTTTTCTTGGAAAGTGTCTTTTGTTGCTTAAAAATTGGATATACTTTATAATCATTGATAATCTTCATAGCTACTAAAATGACCAACATATGCATAAAAAAAATCACATAAACTGAAATTAATGTGGATGTGGAAGTACGATACAAATGATTCACAAAGCTTTCATTCTCAAAATACAACTTTGTTTACAAAACTGACATTTGAAAAAAAAAATCTACAGATCATTTACTTCTTTTTAATGATATTACTGAAGTAGTATTGCATTAGTGGAAATGCAGCATCAGCCTGACTTTCCTTCAGTACATTAGTCAGAGTAAGATTTCAGCTGTTTTTCTAAAGGCCATTGAGTGATGACAGACCAGTCCAGCTGTGCCACTTATGATTCAATTCAGAGGTCAACCAGAAACACAAAGGCCCAATGAAAAGCTACATTGTTGTCTGAGAGTAAAATAGGTAAATGGCACGAAAAGAATGACTTTTCCCAATCTTGTTAGAATTTAAGAAAAAATATTTTTTGAGCCCAAGTAAGAATGGTGAAGAAAGTGTTTTTCCTCAGGGAGTGGTGGGAGATGTTCATTGTGTGAGAGGTAAGAAGAAGGCCAAATCAAACCAAGCTGCTGCCAACGTATGTTCGACCACATAATGCATATTGTGAGATAAAAAAAAATGTCTTAAACTGCGTCATATTGATAAGCTCAGTACAGAAATAAGATTTAAGTTCCTTCCAGACTCTCAAAGGCCCTTCAGGCAGCATCACGTGGCACCTCTACGCCATAGGCAGATCACCTCACTATATGTTTGTTAGCGTGTTAGCATCCTGATTAAGGCCCAGTTGGTATCCTGCGAAGGTCTGATCTGGCCTCACGCCTCAATGCACGTGCTCAATAGAGCCCGCGCTCTGCATCATGACATCATGTCTTTGTGTAAAATCCCAGCGCCATTCACTGGGCCAGTGTGGGGCTTAGCATGCAAGCATCCACTATACCAACACACTGCACTTTAAAGGGACTCCCCTGGTCCCCCAGCTATGTGGATACACCCTGGTCATGCCTTTGAGCCCATGCACCATGCCAGACCTTCAGGGGAGTGAACATTTGAGCTTTTGATAAAGGACATCTTTATATGAGAAAATGTGATTTCTCCAGGATATGTAATGGCTGCTTTCATATATCCAGGAGGGGTAAAACAACGTTTATTGTAACAAGAAGGTTCTTTTTTTTGCATTCGGAGATACATTTTGGAAAGCTAAGTTTAAAACAATAGTGTACCACCAAGTAAAAGATCTAAAAGTATTGAGATTCGGACTCTTAATTTCAGCACACCGGTGATACCACCACAGATTGAGAACAGTATGGCTTGAATTTCAGTGAAGTTAAATGAACGATGAGCAAAGTGAAAAAAATATTTAATCATCCATTCCTTAAGCAGCAGCAATATTTGACGTTATATGTTGCAGTGTGAGAACTGATGACACCAAATGCATTTTTAAGCGATCTGATTTAAAAGCTGGGCATAAAAATACATGGAAAAAGATTAAACAGCAAACATGCTATTTGCAAATAGCAACTCTATTACTGAATGTTTCATGTTTCAGCAACAATAAAGTTCTTGTGAAACCTCCATGTTTGATTGAGCAAAAGGAAATGAATTGTTTAAATTTAAATAAACTTTAAATGCCTCTCACTGCCAAATAATTGTTCTGTCGATTCCTTTAAATTGGTGCACCAGTGATTTGGCATGAGTGCAGGTTTGTAACGGTTTACATTATTGAAAAACACTAGCTTTGTTTAAATGAACCTTGTGATTTAATAAAATGTGTGAACATTTCGCAAAGATAAAAATGCTGTCGTGTTACCGACTAACCAGGATTTTTGTTTTGCCACATTTTGTAATGTGAGGATAAGATCTTGTTTATGTTATAGTCCTGTAAACATAGATATATGTAGGCATGGTTCTGGATTTCCATTGTGGGAAAAACTTAACTACAAAGAGAACACAAAGTTCAAATGTTTCATGGTTCATTTCATTTGATTACATTTTGTAAAATACCCTTACTGTTTTTCTTATTCTTATACTAATGAATATAAACACAATTTTTTTTTATTATGGGTGGAAACAGGAGCACTTTAAAAAAGGAACGAAGGATAAATTGACAGAATAACAGGGAACTGTAACTGTTAGTAGTTCAGTTTATTCTAAATTATATTTCTGAATATATAAAATGAGTATTTGATATTAAATAAAACAAACTATGATAAAAATAAAAATGTATAATATTTTCTCATATAATCCATACTGCACATTAAAATTTCAGCCGTTGGCAATGTGTAAGGTACATAAAAATATATATATGTTTAGATAAAACTATCACCTGAGTATTAAAGTTGGCGATTTGCACATCATGTCACAGAATGTATTTCTTTCAAATGAGGTGGTGGTAAATTGTTCCACAACTTTTTAATTAAAATGTACAACAAGAGGAACAAAAGGTCTGGGTGATTGCTCTTATTTTCTGTTTTTAATTATGTTTCATACCATAGAAAAGTTTCCAGGCTTCCTGTGGTTTATTTATAGCAGCTTCACCTGGTATTTCAGCACAGCTTATGCAAAACAATACAATAACAGTAAACAACAATTAATAATAAATATTTTTCTAAGTTAGGGTTGCTAAAATGGCATTTCAAAAGAATAAAATGAAATGACTTTGATGTTTATAATATAGCAATGCTATAGATTTAGTTATTTTCTTTCTTCTTGCAAAACTTTAAAATACCTTTGGGTTCAGTGTTCTGCTGTTCAAGCATCCATAAAACTCTGAGAGCAAACATTTCTGGTGATTGTTTCTGCCTTCAGAGCAGGGAAGGTTTTTTCTGTTCCCTCAAGGAAGCATGTTAATGAGGTGTGTCACTGTGATTCACATTATTTTATTTCCAACACCAAACAATCTGCAAAAAAATGAAATAGAACATTTTTCAATATAAACATCATACATTACTCCAACAAATGTGCAACCGACTAAAACGCTAAAAAGAAAATTTATAAATTTACACAAATACAAAAGAAAATGATCCCTGAGATTTTCCATTCAAAGGGAAAGTTGGATTATTCTGCTTAAATTAGCTTAAAATGAAACATTTACATTACAATTCGTATCTATTTATTGAGCAAAATACAATAAAGTCTAATAATCTTCAAATTTATTGCAGCATTATTATTAAAATTTGTGTGTCACAGGTTACAAAAAAGCATATCAGAAATTATGTTCAGAGGTCATACATTCACAAATAATAACAAGTAGCTCATATATGAGAAAAATGCCAGAGATTCCTGTGTTCTGACATTTTCACAACTCTGCATTAATCCATACTAATGTTTTGTGTTATATAGTCTAAAGGACTTGATGCACATCCACAGAGTTCCCCTTCATCCTTGCCTGAGCTCATAGTTTGTTACTGACCTGCCTCTAATGTTGGCTCAATTGCTGGAGGCACCATTTGAAATTGTGTCTACTGTGTCCATGTTTCCATACACAGAACGTCGGACCGTTAAGAAAGTAGGAGTGTGACTGGGCTGCTGTGGACTCTGTGCCCCGACAGTGTCCATGTTGGTGCGGGAGCTTGAGGCCTGCTTCCATACATCCCTGCCCTGGCTTTGTTGATCCTATTGTCTTTTGCGTCACCCGCACGTCGCCCGGAAAATAAAGGCCGTCTGGCTCCAAGCTTAAATATTGCGGCAAACTAAAAACCAACCATCAGAGCCGATTCATTTACATCTGCTCAGTGGGGCGACAAGGACAGGGCTTTAGGTGGGAAAGAGGGCAGAAAATAGTTCACTCTCCCCTGCCGGGTGCCAAGAGAACGGGACAGGACTCAACTTTGCCGGAGCCGCAGCTGTGGCAAGTTGCCCATTTGATTGCCTTTTATTATTTAGTAGGGGACTTTATGTTACCTGCTGATCTCTCAATCTACCGTTGTTTTTACTAGAATGTTGCCTTTGAGAGCTATTGACAGCACTGTATATTCATGTCTTCATTTTAGTGAAATTTAATGGCCTACAGAGAGATTTTGCAAGAACTTTAGAAGTTTATTTCCTTGATATTTCATGTCATTATTTATAATAGGAACTGAAAGTTCTCAGTTGACCTTTAAGACTTTTGTGAAGTTTCAGTATGTTCAGTTTTTAAACTGAAATGCATGAATTATTCGCAGCTAATGTTTGATGAACAAGAATTTCAAAGTTTGATTTGCCCTCTAATGCATTGCTTACCTTTGGCCCTCTCTTTCCTACTCCCACTGTGGATCCTCCCTACCTCACCCTTCCCGTGCGACTGCACCCTCTGTGTCCATTCCTACCCCACCCTTCATTTCACAGTGCTACGGACCGACCATGGGTGACTGGAGCTTTCTGGGTAATATTTTAGAGGAAGTCAACGAGCACTCCACGGTGATCGGCCGGGTGTGGCTCACAGTTCTGTTCATCTTCCGTATCCTCATACTGGGCACGGCGGCAGAGTTCGTGTGGGGCGACGAGCAGTCCGACTATGTTTGCAACACGCAACAGCCTGGATGCGAGAACGTGTGCTACGATGAGGCCTTCCCCATTTCCCACATCCGCCTGTGGGTGCTCCAGATCATTTTTGTGTCCACGCCGTCTCTTGTGTACGTCGGCCACGCTGTGCACCATGTCCACATGGAGGAGAAACGTAAGGAGCGAGAGGAGGCAGAGCTTAGCCGGCAACAGGAACTGAGCGAGGAGCGTCTGCCTCTGGCACCTGATCAGGGAAGTGTCCGCACAACTAAGGAGACCAGCACCAAAGGTAGCAAGAAGTTTCGCCTGGAGGGCACCCTGCTGAGGACCTACATTTGTCACATCATCTTCAAGACATTATTTGAAGTGGGTTTTGTGGTAGGGCAGTACTTCCTTTATGGCTTCCGCATCCTGCCACTGTACAAATGCAGCCGATGGCCCTGCCCCAACACGGTGGACTGCTTTGTGTCCCGCCCAACGGAAAAGACTGTCTTCATCATCTTCATGCTGGCTGTGGCCTGTGTCTCGCTCTTCCTCAACTTTGTGGAGATCAGCCACTTGGGTCTGAAGAAAATCCGCTTTGTCTTCCGTAAGCCAGCCCCAGCTCCAGCTCAAGGCGAGGGCACAGCCCCGCCTCTGCCATCACAAGGAAAAGGTCTGTCCCCGCTGGCTGTTCCCGCTTTGCAAAGAGCAAAAGGCTACAAGTTGCTAGAGGAGGAAAAGGTCCCACCTGTAACTCACCTCTACCCTCTGGCTGAGGTCGGCATGGAGGCTGGCAGAGGGACCCCACCCTTCCAGACACTGGAGGAGAAAGTGGAGGAGGTACTGCCCATGGAGGACATCTCTAGGGTATACGATGAGACTCTGCCTTCCTACAGTCAAACGACAGGGACAGGGGAAGTGACGTTACATGAAGAAGAAGTTGAGGAGGTGCAGCCACCAGAGGTGGAAGCAGAGAGAATAGAGGAAGGTCTAGATGAGGATGCAGAGGTAGAGGAAGCAGAGAACGAGGAGAGGGAAACCCCTGCTGAGGCAGAGGTGGAGGCAACGGATACGATAGAAGACACCAGACCATTGAGTCGACTGAGCAAAGCAAGCAGCAGGGCCAGGTCAGATGATCTCACCGTATGAACCTGTGAGACAAAGCACACGCATGCCTTCACACATTCAACATCAGGGAGAGCGTACACCACTAACTCAAAGCAGCGCATACTTTTACACAGACAGGCCAAAAAGTGGTTGAAAAAAAAAATCGACAGGGATAGAGGAAAAGGGTGGAATTGTGCAGAAAGCACCCTCAATAAATTAAAATATAATAAAATAAACAAAAAAGTCAGAGTGTTTGAGGTAAAATGGAATATAAAAGTAGGGTTTAAAGAGGAGTTTATTATTATTATTTTTTTTTTACCAAGTGTGTACTTATTTAAAAAGAAAAATGGGGAAATGTTTTTACTTGATGAAAATCATTTTCAGTTTTTAGACATCTTTTCTATTGAAAGAGTTACAGCTATTTATAATGGAGAAATAGATACTTGTATACAAGGTTTGAGTTGATAGGGAAATACTACTAGAATGTCTGCAAGTCGATGCTTTTGCTGTAGATGGACGATGACTTTTCTATTTAGACAGTGACAAAGTGTAAAGGCAGCCACACTGCTGTTGCTGAGAAACCTACTGCACAGAAACATGCAACATCTGGTAAAGTTTGCAAATACACAGATATTTAATGACAAAAAAGTCTGATTCAGGTTCAGAGGGCCGTACTTCTTTTGCACATTCAGAGATTTCAACTCTGCGAGGCCTTCAACCCTCGTACCACCTCATCTAGGGATCCATTTATACAAGATTCTTTCAAGAGAAGAGAGATTTGCATCAGTTTCAGAGCATTTCTCTCCTTTTTGTGTTCATATACTAGGTGGTAAAAGCTAGAGCAGAGTTAGTCAGAAAAAAAAGAGAAAAATTACCACATGTTGAATGTCTTTTTCAATGTGATTTGCATCTTTTATTTTAGATCTGCTTATGTTCTGTAGCCGTTCAAAAAAGGAAAACCTGTGTACTGTGATATTGGCTGTCCATGCAAGACAGCAGGGCTCATTTTGCCCAATCAGAGAGAGCACTATGGTAGTGACCTCAAGCCAAATCCTCTCTGCGTGCTGTACAAATACGCGTCCGGGCGATAAAGATCATGCACCATCAGCACAAGCTATTGTTGGGGGCACGACAATAAATGAAACCACGCTCATCAATGAAAACAGGCATCCTTGACCCAGGAAATCAAGCCTTTGACTCAGTTTCATTTACACATTGGTATTTATCATTACACAACAAGGACAAACTACAAAATGCATGAAGTTTCAGAGGATTAGTGTACATGAGTTACTGCAAGTTAAATGAAATACAGCACTATTAAAGCAGCTGACTTCAGATAATAGAATGGCTGGAAGAAATGAAGTTTTAAAGATAATAGTCATTTATTGTCACAAACCTAATAAAGCTAATACAAATAGAAAATTTGAGTAGTAAACTTTTCAACTGAATTATTTTGCTAATAATAAGGGCTTTAAAACAGAGTGAACACAAGTTTTGGCCCCAGATTTAAACAAATCTTTAAATTCTCCAGGCTTTTTTTTTCACACTGTCTTATTTGTACATTTTTGAATCTTTTGTGAAGTTGATGTTTTTCTTTTCTTTCTTTTTTTTTTATAGATATGAACAGGTCTTTCACTCTGAGTCACCTGTTACATCAACACAAATAATGTATTCATTAAGCAGATTTTGGCCGTATTTGCAGAAGTCATAGTGTTGATACTGTCAAGGCTGGGATGAGAACAAGAACTTCTCACATAGAAAAGCAACTGTTGTCCCCCGTGTACACCCTGCCCTCCTCCTACTCACTATTATCTGCACATCTTTATGATTCAATGCCGAAACAAGTTAAACTTGCTCAACACTGTTATGCTCCAAAGATGACACTGGGTCTTTTTTACATTAATATGGCTGGTAACGTATGATTTTTTTTGTACTTTGAAACTGTTGCATTACCTATATGTTTGTAAGAAGACACAATGATTAATATTTGGGGGAAAAAAATCATTTTTACTAACTTGTAGTCTTCTCTGATGATAGATTATTTTGAAATGTGAATAAATACAATAAAAAGTCCCATGTGGTTGTGATGAGTTGTTCTGCACAAACACACTAAGTCATATGGTAGCGATGTGCATGTTTCAGTAATAATGTTGGACGTATATGAAAGATAATAAATAGTCAGGACTATTTATTCTCTTTTGTACAGAACATATTCTGTGCAAAATAGAGAAAAATAGAAAAACAGAAAGCAAAGTTTCTGTAAAGCAGCAAAAGTGGAAGCAGTCTGCTCACATTGTCTTAAACGCCTCTCAGGCACTCACAGAGGAAGAAGTCAGTACTCCAAAGGCAAGATGACAAAAACCACACTAAAGTTTGCAAATACACTCAGGAGTAAGAACTTAAAATTTTGAAGACAGGACACAAAGGATGGGAGGTCTGGACAGGTACACCGTTAACAAAGTGTATCCCATGTAATAAAGTTCTGTACCCACAGAAAATTACTTGGAGAACTTCTTTTGAAAATTTGAAGAACATTGGCAATCCTAACAAACCCAAAAAAGAGAAGTTTTGTCTTTTATGAGGCAGCGGTGAGGGGGAAAGTGTTTATTTGTGAAATGCAGAAAAAAATGGTCTTAACTATACACATAGAGGAAGCAGATAGAAGAGAGAAATATTATTTTATGAAGTAATGTATATAATGTGAATTAATTTATATTCAGACTTGTTTGCTGCCATTAATATCAGGCTTAAAAGCAGCGAGACAAAAAGTGCAACCGTGATTTAAAAAACAAATAAGACTGTTAGGAATGTTAGCACCACTAGGGGGCAGTGTTTTACCGCTAAAGCACCCATCATCCAAAGATCTGTGTATGTCAGACAACAGACCTTGTTGTCTGACATACACAGAAATATCCAAATGCATATTTCTGCAGGGACATTTTGAATAACAAGAAACCACCAGCAATCCAGTTTACGGAATTTGAGCCTTCCAATGGGAAGAAAAATAATTAAATCAAATAAAATGTTATTTGTGTAGCTTATTTCCGAATCATAAAAACAAATAACATTTTTCCTTAATTATGGTACAGAAGCGACTCTAAACAGGTGGGTTTTTAATCTAAGTTTAAAGGAGCTCAGTGTTTTGGCTGGTTTGTAGTTTTCTGGAAGTTTCTTCCAAGTTTGGTTCTGTGAATGCATTTTATCGTAATTATTAAACTATTGCCACTCCATTCTGGAACTAAACTCACTTTATTCCTCATTTAAATTTTTGTCAATTTTCCCAAACAAGCTAGTATGTTTAATTATCTTTAAAAAACAGTTTTACTCAATGCTACTCAAGGATCTTTATTTATTGAACTTTTCTTCATCAAGTATACCTGGTCTGCATGTTTTCACAATGCGAGTGCGATGGAAATAAACACGTTTTAACAAGATCCATGTTTATCACAAACCCACCTCTTTTAACTTTAGAAAATGCAGTTTATGTACATTTTTAAGTTTAATGTTTGAGTCAAAAAATTGGTGTGAGAATCAACACAACACTGTTTTTAGAAACATGTCGTTGCGTAGGTTTTCTTTATCTCCAGCTTTAGTAGCAGGATCAATTCCTGCGAAGCAGTTAAATAAACATAAAGACGAGGGAAATAAGAATCATGGAAGTTCGATATATTGTGGTTCTCTTCTGCATCCTGATATAAGGTGCATGATTTGATATTACAAATAAAATAAAATAAAATAAAGGTTTTGTAAACCTTAAAGTGTGTATCAAACAATCTCTGTCCCTAATAACATCCAGTTTTCTCTCCAAATTCGGCTTTTTGAAGCTCTTGACTGAAGAGGTTTAGTACTTCAGTGAAGCAGCGGATGTGCAGAGTGTAAATTATTTAAACAACAAAACCACATATTGAGTCTAGAACTCAGTCAGGACTATTTACTCTCTCCACAAAGTTATATTTTCATTACAGCATTACTGAAAAGTTCGGGAGCAAAACTTGTCTTTTTAAATGTTGGTCCAAATTACAACAAATATAATCTGAAATCATTTAACATAACAGAAAGTTCAATTTAAAGGATTCAAATTCAGTTAATATCAATCAAATGGATTCATCTTATTATGTTACTTTAATATTCAGAACAAAACAATCCAAATTTTCTTCCTTTTTATTCTCATTTCTTCATATAAATGTGTTTCCAAAATCAATAGCAATATGAATAGATCAGGATGCCCAACATTTATTACATTTTTAGCGGTGTGGTTCACTTTCACACTGCACTGTGTCAAAATAAAAGCAGATGAGTAATTAAAGTGTAGATATATTGCTTGCTAAATATTGTAAATGTTAATATATGTCAATTTATTGCATGTAAATATTTATAATGTGACTTGAGCTCAGAGTGCGAAGCTACAATTAGCTTACCATAGGATTGCGTTTAAAATATCAGTGGATAAATGGCTTAAGGCTGTTAATGCCACAGCAGGTTTGGAAAACCACAAATGCAATAATTAAATCATATAGAAATCTATTGTTAAATGAATAAAATATTATTTATTTTTAAAATATTCAGTCATATTTTCAGCTTGAGTTTTTCAGAACTGATATCGTTTCCATAGCGATGACCAGAGGCAATACCTTGCCCTTGAAGTCCAGTGAGGTCACTGATGATGTCATCAATGACAAAGAAATTCTCAAGTAGGAATCTCAGTGCTTCAGTCAGGATTCAGACAGCTTTCAGCGAAGAAGATTTGCGAAGAATTTGTGAAGATGTCTAGTTTGAACGCACTCGTACCTTTGTTTATCCCACTGGGTTGGGGCTTGGGATACGCCGTTACCACCGGCATGAAAAAGTTATTAGATTATTGCCTTCCTGAGGAGGACGAAGGAGGTTGTCAGGACTTGCCGGATTCTAAGGACTCGCGGGACTTTGAGGATTTTCAGGAGGAACAAACCAACCCGGCTGTGGAGGTTTGTTCCAAACCAGCGGACATCTTAGGGACTGTAGAACTAGACCCGATCGTGACCCTACCAGAGAGTACCGCAGACAACGGTACTGTCTCCAGACAAACTGACCCGGCTGGGCAGGAGTGTCACGAACCGACGGCTCCGTGTGCGGTTTGTGAGACAGCAGACGGAGACCTGACGACAGGAGACAGTACCGAGTTTGACGGTACTAACTTTGAGCAAACCAACCCGGCTGGGGAGGTTTGCTCAAAGTTGACGGAATATCTTGCGTGCCAGAGACGAGCCGCAGAAGCATCTGCCCCGGCTGGGGAAGATGTATCTGCGGCCGACCTTGCAGCCAAGGCTTTTGCTGAATTCACAGCAGAAGCCTTGGCTTCAGTGGTCCCAGCTCTTAGGTCATCAACGAGGTCTCTGAAAGGCACCATTACCAGTGCCTTTGAGGTACCAAGTTCCCCAGCTGGGGAACTTGGTACCTCAGAGGCAAAAAAGAGGTCTTTAAATGGTAGGGTCACGATTTCTTTCGAAATTAACTGTTTACCGGAGGAGGATCATAATTCGGAAGAGAGGGTCGGCTTAGAAATGACAGATGGAGGGAAGACAGAGGCTGCAGGATCCAGACAAGCGGGCATGGAACGCTACTGTCAGTTCTCCAATGAACTGAACAGTAGCTGGATGAATGCCGCTTTCCAGAGCCTCCTGAACCTGGGTGTCACCAGACGGTGTCTTGCCCGGGAACGGGTGTTTCTGGAGGCTTCATCCATTCCGTGCTGCGCAAGTCTAATCCTTGCAGCCGTCCGCCATCCGGGCAGACATTTTACAGCAACAGACCTCTCCCCAGCTCTGGTAGAGCTGATGGAGAGAAATCTGTTTTTGGACATGTGTAGGGATTACGCTGTAAAATGTTTGCTGGAGTCCTTGTTAATATGGTTGGACTCACTTGGCGGCGAGACAGACAGAGACTTGTACTGCTCCAACAATTGCTCTGTCTGTCAAACCAGCTGCCTGGAGCTCCTGAGCGATGGCCCCATGGTTGCCCTGCCAGCGGCAACTTTTCCAACTGATTTAGTTTACTCTTTTTGACGATTGGTTGGCATTGGGAGGCAGGCGCCGTTGCTCAGGCTGCAACGCTGCCTTGGAGAAGAAGTACCAGTTGGCGGGTAACAACGTTCTGGTGTTTTTTCTCCCGAGGCGGACCAGGATCCATCCAGTGACGGCCAACCAGACTATGGATGTGCCCGCACAGTCTGCCTGCGGGACGGAGCGGTTCTGTCTGTCCTCTGTGATCTGTCAGGGTCCATTGTCGACCCAGTTTTATACGTATTTGATGGGAGAACATCAAATTCTGAAGGCAGAAAATGATCATGTCTTCTCTGCAGATGACCTCTGCAGTGAAGACATGAATCAAACGGGAGTTTGTACGTATACGAAAAGGTAAGGAGACATCAGCTAGTCACTGATGTCTCAAGTTCTCCAGCCCCTCCTCTCCAAGGCGACCAAGGCGCGTTTGGAGAGGAGCCAAACTTAACTGATTTGGATTATGAGGAAATTCCAAAAGATGCAATTAGTGACCATTTGGAGGCTGGAGAAATCTGACCGGGTCTTATCTAAATTTATGAACTAAAAAGATTAGACAGGTTTCCTGTTTGCAGGTTTCTCTCCGGGCGCTCCGGCTTCCTGCCACAGTCTGACATTACGACTGTTAGTTAATTTGGCTCTAAATTCTGCCTAGTGTGATTAAAACATTTATTTTCTGCCTTCATGGTTTGCATGTTCTCCAATCAGTGGATTCTCTCCGGTTCGGTCCCAAAAGATGACCGTTGGTTTACTTGGCTTTTCTAGTTGACCTTTTCCCCAAGTCTTCTCCCCTCTCGTTTGCTTAAAGTAGTTTTGGCCACTAGGATTTTGACTTAAATCAAACTCCTCTTTCAAATGTGTGCCAAGTTTCATAATTCTTGGATAAATTGTGGCTTGTGGATGATTTTTAAGGATATTCTTGGGTGTGTTGTGGAGGAATTGGGCCACACACACCAAATATTGGACCACATTCCTGTCAGGGAGAGGACAAGGATCGATTTCAGTGAGCTTGGTGCAGCGCGTTCGAAACATGAGTG